TGGCCATGATCCACCAGCACGAAGATTGAGAATCCATGGTAAGTCAGCTCCTCGTTTTGCCACTATTGGAGGCTACCCAGATGACATGGGTGACTCAGGTGGTCGAGGACGCAGTCCAAACCTAGAGCACCATGTGGGTGGTCTTAAAGGTCGAGGACGCAGTCCAGACCTAGAGCACCATGTAAATGATCCCAAGAGTCGAGGACACAGTTCAGACTATGGGGATTCATCCAATGGCATTGAGGTCAACAGGGTTGTACGTGCTCCGTGGGCTGCAGCCTATGATGGGAAATTTGTGTTCGAACGCTACGAGGATGAGCTACCAAGTGATCATGAAGAGAGCAGTCCTCGTATAGCAGTGTTTGAGCACAATCCAGATCATGATTCTGATGAAAGAGGTGACCAGATCTATGATCCTGAGGTATATGCGCAATCAGTTCTTGACCAGGGTTTGAAGGTTGACGAGTCAGTGGTGGAATACTTGTTCGAGTTGTTGCCGGACCAGAGAATCTCCAGAAAAACAGATGAGTGTGCACATGCAGGGTCGCCACCGAGGGCATGGGCGTCTGGAGTGTATCGTCATGGGGGAGTACTGGGAGTTAGAAACTCGACAAAGGACTATCCGCTGGCCACCAAGGTGGTGAACTTGTTCATCCAGGAGAAGCTCGGTGAAAACGCTTGCTGGTCTACGTTCTCAATGCATCGGAACCTGAATGTGAAGAAGCATCGTGACTCACACAACGCCAGAGACAAGGCCTCTTACTTGATCCCCATCAGCGACTTCAAGGATGGCGGTTTGTGGGTTCAGCTCAAGACCGGTGAAGAAGTCAAAGAGGAGGACGTCGTGATCCTGGATGGAGATAGAGGACTTGTGAAGAGTTTTCAGTCCGAGGAGGGGAATAGACAGGTGGTCACGTTTGATCCTAGAAGATGGCATGCCACAAGACAATGGAGTGGAAACCGTCTAGTTCTCGCAGTCTACAATGTGAGGGGTCTCGAGAAGATCAACAGCTTTGACAAGGAGATCGTCGAGCGGTTGGGCTTTCAGCTATGTCAAGATCCAAGTATTGTTGGGGCACCAAAGATACGCAAACTCCTAGGAAATGAGGGAGGCGAAGTACAAGAACCTCAACATGTGGATGTTGAACTGGAACCTCGAGAAGCCGTCCTGCACATTAGAATGACTATACAGGAGTGGAATGTTACCAGTGCCAGACATGGACCTGACCACTACATTGAGGCAATGGCCGAACGTTGGGAGCAGATTAACCTT